TTACAACAGTTTGCATATGTGCCTCCCACTTTTTAAGGGACCAAAAGTAATGGGACAATTGGCTTCTCAGCTGTTCCATGGCCAGGTGTGTGTTATTCCCTCATTATCCCAATTACAATGAGCAGATAAAAGGTCCAGAGTTCATTTCAAGTGTACTATTTGCATTTGAAATCTGTTGCTGTCAACTCTCAAGATGAGATCCAAAGAGCTGTCAATATCAGTGAAGCAAGCCATCATTAGGCTGAAAAAACAAAACAAAACCCATCAGAGAGATAGCAAAAACATTAGGCGTGGCCAAAACAACTGTTTGGAACATTCTTAAAAAGAAGGAACGCACCGGTGAGCTCAGCAACACCAAAAGACCCGGAAGACCACGGAAAACAACTGTGGTGGATGACCAAAGAGTTCTTTCCCTGGTGAACAATACACCCTTCACAACAGTTGGCCAGATCAAGAACACTCTCCAGGAGGTAGGTGTATGTGTGTCAAAGTCAACAATCAAGAGAAGACTTCACCAGAGTGAATACAGAGGGTTCACCACAAGATGGAAACCATTGGTGAGCCTCAAAAACAGGAAGGCCAGATTAGAGCTTGCCAAATGACATCTAAAAAAGCCTTCACAGTTCTGGAACAACATCCTATGGACAGATGAGACCGACATCAACTTGTACCAGAGTGATGGGAAGAGAAGAGTATGGAGAAGGAAAGGAACTGCTCATGATCCTAAGCATACCACCTCATCAGTGAAGCATGGTGGTGGTAGTGTCATGGCGTGGGCATGTATGGCTGCCAATGGAACTGGTTCTCTTGTATTTATTGATGATGTGACTGTTGACAAAAGCAGCCGGATGAATTCTGAAGTGTTTTGGGCAATATTATCGGCTCATATTCAGCCAAATGCTTCACAAGTCATTGGACGCTTCACAGTGCAGATGGACAATGACCCAAAGCATACTGCAAAAGCAACCAAAGAGTTTTTTAAGGGAAAGAAGTGGAATGTTCTGCAATGGCCAAGTCAATCACCTGACCTGAATCCGATTGAGCATGCATTTCACTTGCTGAAGACAAAACTGAAGGGAAAATGCCCCAAGAACAAGCAGGAACTGAAGACAGTTGCAGTAGAGGCCTGGCAGAGCATCACCAGGGATAAACCCAGCGTCTGGTGATGTCTATGCGTTCCACATTTCAGGCTGTAATTGACTGCAAAGGATTTGCAACCAAGTATTAAAAAGTGAAAGTTTGATTTATGATTATTATTCTGTCCCATTACTTTTGGTCCCTTAACAAGTGGGAGGCACATATGCAAACTGTTGTAATTCCTACACCGTTCACCTGATTTGGATGTAAATACCCTCAAATTAAAGCAGACAGTCTGCAGTTAAAGCACATCTTGTTTGTTTCATTTCAAATCCATTGTGGTGGTGTATAGAGCCAAAAATGTTAGAATTGTGTACATGTCCCAATATTTATGGACCTGACTGTACATATATATAAAAATACATTTCAGATAAACTGTATGTCTTTAAAAATACAAATCTCCATCTGCGAAGTGGCTAAGTCAGGGACAGGAACCCGCTGGTTAGAGACAACATGTCTAGAAACTTAAAAAAAATAGGTTGCGCTTAAATACATACAAAAGTATAACAAGAAAATAAATAACAAAACAATAAGAAACAATATTTTAAATCAAAATAAAATCCAGCAAAAACGAAAAAGTCCAAAAGTTCAAATAATCAATAATGTCCAAAATAATTCATCACTAAGTAAATCCACCACCAAAAATAGTTCAATAGAACTCAGCAGAGTAATATGCTGATTGTTGAAAAACCAGCCTATAGTACTTGTTATTCTGGGAGAAATGAATAATATGGTGACAACAACACTGAAGAAATGAGGGATGAACTCCAACAGATGATGTGCTGCAAAGTTGAAAATCCACTCCAAAGGTGATTTAATATCCAAACTGAGAGATGATCAGACCGTCACTCAAAAGAAAAAAGCGACCAATCACGGTGCACTATGTTTTAAAAAGCATCAAACTTTAATAAAGAAATGCACTTCCGAGCGAGGAGTCCAGACTGACACCAGTATAGTCAGCGTGTGTAATGAATACAGGCGACTCAGACCCAGCCAAACATGCAACGTGCAGACAGACCAGGAGCATTCTAGAAACTGCATAACAATACGGCTAGTTGCGGACTCAAACCGAATATTGGGTTTGTTTAAATATATTAGGACTGTCCGTGATACTTTTTTTTATTTGCACTAACATACAATTTTGAGGACAAGCTTTCGGGGAGTGTCCCCTTCTTCAAGGTCCAAGCAGTACTGTTACAAAGTTTTAGCAGAATGTTAGGAGATATGTGGGGATTGAGAAAAGAAAAAAAAAAAGCAGAAAGAAACACAAGACTGACAACTCATGGGGCCCCCAGGCAATAGGGGATCATGGGGCCCCTGTGTCCTTGCCAAACTCAAAAAAGCCTATGAAAAAGGTACCAGGGGCATCTCATGGGGCCCCCTACTGACCCCGGGCCCTTAGACAGTGCCCGAGTTTCCAAATGGTCAGTCCGCCCCTGGTCTAGAGATAAGATACAGCAAAGCAAAAATAAATTAATAATGGAAAATCAATAAATCAAAGGGGCTGGTGGTCAGTGGCACACAATCATTCCTTTATTCAACATGGACAATTCTAAAAACATAAAAAGGAAAAAAAATCGTACCACACTCCACAGGTCCCAAATAACAACCCCCAAAGGGGAATACCCACTCCTAGCCAAATCGATTGGTAATAATGGTAACCCTCTTCATGGATAATACGTGAGCTAGGTAATCCACGGGTCTCCTGAAAAGGCAACGTGCTCTTATCACATGTGGGATCTCTGCCAGAACAGGATCACCATACATGGAATATTTGTTGGACATCCCATAGATACAGTTGTGCTCAAAAATTTCCCTCCCCCGGCAGAATTTGTGAAATTTTGGCATTGATATTGAAAATATCAATATCACAACACTGCCCCTGACTACCTCACCAACCTGATCCCCAAGTACCGCCCTACCCGTACCCTTCGCTCCTCACAGGACCTCCTTCTATCCTGCTCCCTGGTCTCCTCCTCCCATGCACAACTGCAGGACTTCTCCAGGTCCTCCCCCATCCTCTGGAACTCACTGCCCCAATCCATCAGACTGTCGCCTTCCCTATTCACATTCAGGCGCTCCCTCAAAAAACCCATCTCTTCAGGGAAGCCTACCCCCACCCTCACCTAACGGCCATCCTCCCTCATTCCTCCTACCACTTCATCCCCCTCAGCCACTTCCTACTGTACCTTTACCCCCTCCCTCCTAGATTGTAAGCTCGTAAGAGTAGGGCCCTCTTACCCCTCGTACGTTGTTTGTTGTTGTTGTACTGTGCCATGTATTGTCCCCTCTATTGTACAGCGCTGAGCAAACCCTTTGGCGCTATATAAACTCCATGTAATAATAATAATAATAATAATAATATGACTGATCTGCCACAAAATGCTCTTTTATTGAAGGATGATGATCATGTGACGCCATTTATCAAATAGTTGTTTGGCTCCTTTTTAAATCATAATGATAACAGAAATCACCCAAATGGCCCGGATCAGAAGTCTCCGCCCCCGGATCAGAAGTCTCCGCCCCCAGATCAGACGTCTCCGCCCCCGGATCAGAAGTCTCTGCCCCCGGATCAGAAGTCTCTACCCCCGGATCAGAAGTCTCCACCCCCGGATCAGAAGTCTCTGCCCCTGGATCAGAAGTCTCCACCCTGGATCAGAAGTCTCCGCCCTGGATCAGAAGTCTCCGCCCCCTGGAATGTTCGTCCTTGGTACAGACACACAAGGTGACACACACGGGTTACAATGCCAATTAGAGGTTAATGTCCCACATTTTCTGGCTTTTTAAATTGCAATCAGTGTCAGTGTATAAATAGTCAGTGAGTTTGTTCGCTCTCACATGGAAGTACTGACTGGGCTAGATACTGAGCCATGGGGATCGTGTGCATTTTCTCCTCTCCAGGTACCAAACGCCTGACCCCGCCTACAACCTGCCTTATATCTGTTGTGTTACTTGTTGGCAGGCTGCGTATCTTTATGTACACTATATTGCCCCAAGTATTGGGCCACCGATCTTTCCAGGTACATGACCTTTAATGGCCCCCCAGTCTTAGTCCGTAGGGTTCAATATTGAGTTGGCCCCGCCCTTTCCACGCACATGACCTTTAATGGCCCCCCAGTCTTAGTCCGTAGGGTTCAATATTGAGTTGGCCCCGCCCTTCCCATACACATGACCTTTAATGGCCCCCAGTCTTAGTCCGTAGGGTTCAATATTGAGTTGGCCCCGCCCTTTGCAGCTATAACAGCTTCAACTCTTCTGGGAAGGCCGTCCACAAGGTTTAGGAGGGTGTCTATGGGAAGGTTGGACCATTCTTCCAGAAGCACATTTGTCAGGTCAGGCACTGATGTCGGGGGAGGAGGCCTGGCTCGCAGTCTCCGCTCTAATTCATCCCGAAGGTGTTCTATGGGGTTGAGGTCAGGACTCTGTGCAGGACAGTCAAGTTCCTCCACCCCAAACTGGTTCCTCCATGTCTTTATGGACCTTGCTTTGTGCACTGGGGGGCAGTCATGTTGGAACAGGAAGGGGCCATCCCCAAACTCCTCCCACAAAGTTGGGAGCATGAAATTGTCCAAAATGTAGCCTTAAGAGTTCCCTTTACTGGAACTAGGGGGCCAAGTCCAACACCCTGAGGAACACCCCCACACCATAATCCCCCCTCCACCAAACTTTACACTTGGCACAATGCAGTCAGGCAAGTACCGCTCTCCTGGCAACTGCCAAACCCAGACACATCCATCAGATTGCCAGACACGGAAGCGTGATTGGTCCCTCCAGAGAATACACCTCCAATGCTCTAGAGTCCAGTGGCGGCATGCTTTACACCACGGCATCCGACGCTTTGCATTGCACTTGTGATGGAAGGTTTGGATGCAGCTGCTCGGCCATGGAAACCCATTCCATGAAGCTCTCTACACACTGTTTTTGGGCTCATCTGAAGGCCACACCAAGTTTGGAGGTCTTTAGCTATTGACTCTGCAGACAGTTGGGCGACTTCTGCGCACTGTGCGCTTCAGCATGCGCTGACCCCCGCCCTGTCATGTGACGTGGCCTACCACTTGGTGGCTGAGTGGCTGTTGTTCCCAGTGGCTTCCACTTTGTTATAATCCCCCACTAACAGTTGAGCGTGGAATATTTAGTAGCCAGGAAATGTCACGGATGGACTTATTGCCCAGGTGGCCACCTATCACGGGACCACGCTTGGAGTCACGGAGCTCCTGAGAGTGACCCATTCTTTCACCAATGTTTGTAGAAGCCGTCTGCATGCCTAGGGGATGGATTGTATACACCTGTGTCCATGGAGGGGATTGGAGCACCTGAATCACATGATTGGGAGGGGATTGGAACACCTGAATCACATAATATGGAGGGGATTGGAACACCTGAATCACATGATTGGGAGGGGATTGGAACACCTGAATCACATGATTGGGAGGGAATTGGAGCACCTGAATCACATGATTGGGGGGATTGGAGCACCTGAATCACATGATTGGGAGGGGATTGGAACACCTGAATCACATGATATGGAGGGATTGGAACACCTGAATCACATGATTGGAGGGGATTGGAACACCTGAATCACATGGGAGGGGATTGGAACACCTAAATCACATGATTGGGAGGGGATTGGAACACCTGAATCACATGACATGGAGGGGATTGGAACACCTGAATCACATGACATGGAGGGGTTTGGAATACCTGGAATCACATGATATGGAGGGGATGGAACATGAATCACATGATATGGAGGGGATTGGAACACCTGAATCACATGATATGGAGGGGATTGGAACACCTGAATCACATGATATGGAGGGGATTGGAACACCTGAATCACATGATTGGGAGGGGATTTTGGACACCTGAATCACATGATATGGAGGGGATTGGAACACCTGAATCACATGACATGGAGGGGATTGGAACACCTGAATCATATGACATGGAGGGGTTTGGATTTAAGAATATATTTATTTGAGGGCGGGGCCAATACTTTTGGCAATATAGTGTATATTTAGGTATATTTATTTGGCCTCTCCCCTCCTAACCCCCCCCCCCCCCCCCCCCCCAACACACACCTAGTTCCATTGACTGCAATGCTGTACCCTTCCTTCCTTCCTTTCTTTCTGTGTTTTGAGAATCCAAATGAAGAATGTATTATTATTTCAGCAATCAATGCATCCCGGAGAGTCTGTGACAGCCGGCAGCTCTACTATCTGTGATTTCTGCGACTTATGCCAAGTGTACGGCATGCACATTGCAGTGTAATACACACAGCAATCACTGGAAGGAGGAATGTTGAACACACAATCCAGGAACAAGTCGTCCTCCTGATAGTTGAAGGGATTCAGCAATAACAGGGGCCCCCCGAGGTTTATATAACAGTATGAATGCGGAATATGAAATCGTCTGACACCCCCCGAACATCGCTGAGCTGTACTATGGAGGTTTCCTGTGTACTAGGCACCTGCACAAGTCTTATCCATTCAGTGCCATCTTAGTAGCATCATGGGCCCCTGGGCAAAGTAATGCATTGGGGCCCCTACTAAGGAGATGGTAACCTGCGGCGCGTGCTGCGGCAAAACGTGGGGGAGGCTACATTATGCTACATATTGGGCGTGTCCCATATGTTACATAGATTCCCCCGTCTCTTTCTCTGCAGCATCAGCTGCACTGGAATGAATAAGAAACACTCTGAGGCTTCTTGTTCATTCACAGACTGACGCATAGTAAACACAGTTTACTATGCTTCATATGAATAAGCACAGTGAGTGATCTGTACTGATCCCTTGCTTTGCCTATTACGTAAAGGAAGGGGCTGGTAAGTATGATATATTTATCACCGCCTTCCTCCACTCTCCATCTGAAGATCTGCTGTGTCCCATAACAGCTGGCAAGAGCAAAGGTAGTCTTCAGTTTACTATGCTTCAGTTATGAATGAGCACAGTGAGTGATTGGTACCGTTCACTCGCTGTGCTCATTAAGTAAAGGAAGGGGCCGACAATTATGATATATTTACCACCTCCATCCCCCACTCTCCATCTGAAGATCCCCTGTGCCCCACAGCAGCTGGCAGGAGCGGGAGTTTACTATGCTTCAGTTATGAATGAGCACAGTGAGAGATCAGTATCGTTCACTCGCTGCAGTCATTAAGAAAAGAAGGGGCCGGTAAGTATATTTTACCACCCCCTTCCCCCCCACTCTCCATCTAAAGATATGCTGTGCCCCGGAGCAGCTGGCAGGAGCAGAGGGAAGACAGCAATGCTGCGGGCGTGGGGGGGAAGCACATTGCATGGCAGGTTCATGGCAGGGGGTCTTAGTGGGGGTCAGTGGGTGGAGCCACGTGTGGACAGAGTGGGGGGATCAGTGCAGCACGTGGGGGAAATTGCTGAAAGCAAAGGGAGAGACACACAGAGGATCACTTTCAGTAGTTTCCCCCACATGCTGCACTAATCCCCTACTCTGTCCACATGTGGCTCCCCCTACTGGGGGGGACTGAAGGGGCACCCCATACACCTGGCACTTTGAATGACGATTGCGCGGTCATGCAACACTGTACCCTTATGACATTTTTTATTTTTTTTCACACAAATAGGGGCAGTATAAATACCCCCCAAAATCACCGATTTCCAGAGACAGACTGAGGCATTTAGTACGAGCATGGCGAGTTTTCTGAAGTTGTCATTATCTTGTTATAATTTTGTGGAAAATGAAGAAATTAAAAAACAATTTCACAATTTTTGTCCCGGTGTCAGTAGGAGTAAACAAAATGGCATAATGCTTGTAGTCAGTGGATGGAGGAACAGTGTCCAGTCATTGGTGTCAGTGGAGGAATAGTGTCCCATCATTGGTGTCAGTGGGAGGAATAGTGTCCCATCATTGGTGTCAGTGGGAGGAATAGTGCCCCATCATTGGTGTCAGTGGGGAGGAATAGTGTCCCATCATTGGTGTCAGTGGGAGGAATAGTGCCCCATCATTGGTGTCAGTGGGAGGAATAGTGCCCCCATCATTGGTATCAGTGGGAGGAATAGTGCCCCATCATGGTGTCAGTGGGAGGAATAGTGCCCCATCATTGGTGTCAGTGGGAGGAATAGTGCCCCATCATTGTGTCAGTGGAGGAATAGTGCCCCATCATTGGTGTCAGTGGAGGAATAGTGCCCCATCATTGGTGTCAGTGGAGGAATAGTGCCCCATCATTGGTGTCAGTGGGAGGAATAGTGCCCCATCATTGGTGTCAGTGGGAGGAATAGTGCCCCATCATTGGTGTCAGTGGGAGGAATAGTGCCCCATCATTGGTGTCAGTGGGAGGAATGGTGCACCATCATTGGTGTCAGTGGGAGGAATAGTGCCCCATCATTGGTGTCAGTGGGAGGAATAGTGCCCCATCATTGATGTCAGTGGGGGGGAATAGTGCCCCATCATTGGTGTCAGTGGGAGGAATAGTGTTCAGTCATTGTGTCATGGGAGGAATAGTGCCCCATCATTGGTGTCAGTGGGAGGAATAGTGCCCCATCATTGGTGTCAGTGGGAGGAATAGTGCCCCATCATTGGTGTCAGTGGGAGGAATAGTGCCCCATCATTGGTATGGGTCAGTGGAGGAATAGTGCCCCATCATTGGTGTCAGTGGGAGGAATAGTGCCCCATCATTGGTGTCAGTGGGAGGAATAGTGCCCATCATTGGTATCAGTGGGAGGAATAGTGCCCCATCATTGGTGTCAGTGGGAGGAATAGTGCCCCATCATTGGTGTCAGTGGGAGGAATAGTGCCCCATCATTGGTATCAGTGGGAGAATAGTGCCCCATCATTGTGTCAGTGGGAGGAATAGTGCCCCCATCATTGGTGTCAGTGGGAGGAATAGTGCCCCATCATTGTCAGTGGAGGAATAGTGCCCCATCATGGTATCAGTGGAGGAATAGTGCCCATCATTGTGTCATGGGAGGAATAGTGCCCCATCATTGTGTCAGTGGGAGGAATAGTGCACCATCATTTGGTCAGTAGGGAGTGAATAGTGAGCCCATAGTGGGTCAGTGGGAGGCCCAAATAGTGCCCCATCATTGGTGTCAGTGGGAGAATAGGCCCCATCATTGGTGTCAGTGGAAGAAAAGAAATGCCCCATAGTTGGTGTCAGTGGAAGGAATGGTGCTTCATCATTGGTGTCAGTGGAAGGAATAGTGCCCCATCATATTGGTGTCAGTGGGAGGAATAGTGCCCCATCATTGGTGTCAGTGGGAGGAATAGTGCCCATCATTGGTGTCAGTGGAAAGAATAGTGTCCCATCATTGGTGTCAGTGGAGGAATAGTGCCCCATCATTGGTATCAGTGGGAGGAAGTGTCCCATCACTGGTGTCAGTGGGAAAGGGGGAAATTGGTGTCGAGGATAAAAATAGCACCCCATCATTGGTGTCAGTGGAGGAATAGTGCGCCCCATCATTGGTGTCAGTGGGAGAATAGTGCGCCCAATCATTGGTGTCAGTGGAGGAATAGTGCCCCAGTCATTGCTGTCAGTGGGAGGAATAGTGCCCCATCATTGGTGTCAGTGGGAGGAATAGTGCCCATCATTGGTGTCAGTGGGAGGAATAGAAGCGTGCCCATCATTGTGTCATGGGGGAGGAATAGTGCCCCATCCATTGGGTTGTCAGTGGGGAATAGTGCCCCATCATTGTGTCAGTGGGAGGAATATGCCCCATCATTGGTGTCAGTGGGGAAGAAATATGCCTCCATCATTGTGCACAGATGGGAGTAATAGTGCCCCAATCACTGGTAGTTAGTGGGAGAATAGTGCCCCCATCATTGGTATATCCAGTGGGGCAGATTAGTGACCCATCATTGGTGTCGAGTGGTAGGAATAGTGCCCCATCATGGTGTCCAGTGGAGGAAAAGTGCCCCAACAATTGATGTCACAGTGTGGTGAATAGTGCCCCAACATTGGTGCAGTGGAGTGATAGTGTCCATCATTGCTGTCAGTGGGGGGAATAAACGCCCATCATTGGTTCAAATGGGGGAAAAAGTGCCCCCTCATTGGTGGGCAGTGGGGGGGAATAGTGGACCATCATTGGTGTCATGGGAAGGAAAAAGTGCCCCAAACATTTGGGGTCTGGGAAGAATAGTGCCCCATCATTGGTGGGCAGTGGGGGAAAAGTCCCCATTCCACTGGTGTCGTGGGGGGAATAGTGCCCCATCCCTGGTTCAGTGGGAGGGGTTTGTGCCCCCTCCTGGTTTTCTGGGAGGAATAGTCCCCCCTCATTTGGGTCAGGGGAGGAATTGTCCCCCCTCAATTTGGGGTCAGTGGGGAATAGTGCCCCTCAATGGGGGTCATCCAAAAAAAAAGTGCCCCCTCATTGGTTTTCAGTGGGGGGAATAAATTGGGCCCTATCATTGGTGTCAGTGGGGGGAAAAGGCCCCTTCATCGGTTTTCGTGGGAGGAAAAAGTGCCCCTCATTGGTAACAGTGGGGGGAAAAGTTTCCCCTTCATTGGTGTCCATGGGGGGAAAGTGCCCCCCAAAACCCCTTGTGTCAGTGGGAGGAATTTGTGCCCATCATTGGTGTCAGTGGAAGAAAAAAAATGCCCCAAAGTTGGTGCCTCCAGTGGGGAAATAGTACCCCCGGGGGCTGGATAGAGGGAAAGGGAAGGGGCCGCAGTTTGGAGGGCCATGCACTAAAGGGACAAGTGCTAAGGCTTGAGAAGTTCTTTTTGGGTCTCTTTCCCCCGGGGGGGGGCTTGGGAAAAACCGTTTTTCCCAAAAATCCCCCCCAAAATGTTTGGGGCCGGGCCCCCCCTGGTATTGGGGACAGGGGGTCCCCTTCTTCCTAAATTTTTTTTAAAGGGGTCCAAGGGCAAAGAAAACCCCTGAGCCCCGCTTCCATGAAATCCCAAAATCTCCC